GTCCAGTACTAACCTGTGAAGGTGGCGCCTTGTTGCAGGTACATTGAAGACGAAGCTGGAGCTATGGCGCCACAGGTAAGTCTCCCTGGCCTCCGCCCTCTCTCTCTCTCTCCAACACTACTCTAGCTCCTAATAGCGCCCAGCGCTGAAGACTACTCCTAGCTCTACTACTACTGCAGCGCTCCTCCAGAGTGCTGCTGCCGAAATCCTGAAGACTGCCTCCTGCCTCCTGCACGTGAAGCGCTCGTGAACTGCCTGTGAAGTGCAGGGCAGACCAGTACTATATAGTGCTGGTCCGGCCTGGGAGGCTGCTCTTGCCCATGCCGCATCGTGCCAGACCCTGGCGTTGAAGTTCAAACAAAGGTTGTCTTGAAACAGGCCCACAAATGGCATGTGCTAAAACACTGGTCTGGTGCCTAAGTTTCAGGGCAGGTCGACCTTATGAGGGCCTGAAAATGGCCCTCCGTTTCAGGCTGAAAAAACTCAGGGCCTGGAGGGCCCTTTTTTAGGCTGAAACGACACAGGGCCTGGAAGGCCCTTATTTTCCATCTGGTCGGGCCCTACAGGCCCGTGTGGCTGCGCAGTATGCCACAGCAGGACACAGAGGCAGGATGCAAGACTTTGAATGCCAGAAAATAACAATACCAAATTTTCCAAGAAAGGTCCTTCGATATCAGTGCTCTCAGAAGAAGTATGCCCAACCTATTTTCTACAGAGGGCCAGTGATTGGGTAGATTGGGAAGCAGGTGATGTGTGTTCCTGCATGTGTTGTTCAGATGCATTCAGATAATTTAGCTTATAGCTATGCGAGGAATGAATGAGCCTTCGCGGGGCCTTTATCAGACATACAAATGAGCTGGGCTGTGGCCCCCAGCAAGCCTCGTGCCTGCCCTACGTGAAGGCGGGCCTGAATATCCACGTGAGGCCTCTGCTCGACATTTTTCCGTATGTGGGGTATCAGACATACCTATCCTGGCTCTATCCTGAAGCAACAGCTGCGCTGCACAGTTGAGCCCAGGGCCTAGGGTGGTTGCACTCTGGGCACCCGCAGAGTGAGGCCGACACATCACGCAGTGGCCATGGACGAATGAGACAGTAACATTGTCGTCACACAAGCTGGATGAGCCAATGAGTATGCGGCAAACACTTGGAGCCGTGTGGGTGAGTGATACTGCTTTGACGTCCGTTAGAGGTACCCTTGAGAGCAGTGCTTGATGCCCACCACAGGGTATCAGTTGCCTAGCCGTCGTCCATTCTTGACTGTAACCAGGGCTAAGGTGGATTATCGCCTACAGTATCGGTTAGGGGACTCTGCAGACCGTAGAGGGTTCAATTCCCTGACAAGTTGCTGAAACTCCAGCGAAACACTCTGTCACAGTCCCTCGTCAAGCTCAACGGCACTTATATACATTGTCACACTGTGAATCAGAGCGCGAAGGCGAAAAAAAGCAAAACAAGGAAAGGAAAAAAAGGAAGGAAGGAAAGCCCCGCCTGTTCATCACCTCTTACGTACAAGGCCAGCCACGTGGATGACAGGTTGAGCGCTGGCCGCCCCAATCCATCCCCGTGTGTCACAAGGACCCACTTGCATGCAGCCAAAGGGCAAAGAGGTAAAGAAAAGGAGGAGGAAACCAGACCTCACAGAGGCAAGAGAAAGAGAAAGGGATCCAATCAAAGAAAAGACAAGGGAAGAAAGCAAAGGACACATCCCACAGATAAACCAATTGCCACTGTCACTACAAGGTTCAACATATTCTTTTATTTTATTCTTTCTTTTTTCTTGTTTTCTTTTTTCTTTTCTTCAGAACTTTGTACTTTTTTTTTTCTTTCTTTTTTTCTTTTTGTTTCAATTTTTTTCTTTCTTCTTTCTTCAACTCCACATCTGTTGCTGCTGATCACTTGATTCTATTGATCAGTCAGGAAGAGGAGCCCCCACCCCGGAAGATCGGACAGGCACGCTGAGGATGACGTGGATGTTCACAAGGATACCCAAGGAGAGCTACTTCAGCACAGCAATCAGCAGGACGGCTAGCACGGACCATCCCGTCAAAACAGTCCTGACAAAGGACATGCTGTCCACATGTCAAAAAAACAGCAGGACATTCATCACAGTGCAGCATCATGCAGTCCTGATAGCGTCCTTGAGCACAAAAGGGACAGCGAATATCTGGGTGATAGGGATGTGAGGAAATGTTGGACACCCTTCGCCACAGACGGCGGCGGCTGCAATAGATTGATAATGTTGATGGCATAGGTGATGAATTCTGCAGCCAAGACGCACCGCGTCCCTGTCCTGACAGGTGTCACACGAGAGTCGGTCAATAATCCAGAATAAAGTATGATTCCGCAATGCACACAGAAATTCATTTATGTTGAAAATAGCCTGAATCATTTTCCCACCATCCCACAGTTCCCACTGGGCAGCTGCACGAATGAGTGCCATATAATGCCCGGGTCTGTGCAGAAATGTGAGGATGGTCATTAAGGTCATCGCCTGGCGTCGCATGATGCATAAGAAGGTGGCGACCGTGCAATGCTAGCTGTAAGACATTTACAGTAAAGCCTCCTGAGGTAGTATAGTTACTACCTTCTGCAGGTGGACTATTATGGTCAAACAACAACTGATTTTCAACAGCGTCAAGCGGATAAGCAAACGTGACAAAATGGGAAGCAATATAACATTGACGCTGATAAGCCTGTAGGCAGACATTTGTGGCTGTCAAGCGACAAGTATTTGGTAGATCGGCCCGCAGATCCGATTCGGTCACCACTGGAAAGCTAGGTCTGATCTGGTGGGGTCGGCGCATGAATGACGAACGCCGTCGACGTGGCAGAGCAGGCTGTCGGTAAGACAAAGGTCCCCGCAGATTAGCATCAACACGACGTCGAGAGGAAGGGGGACTGGGAGGAGGAGAGAATGAACGAACCTGCCGACGTCCCAATATGGACAACGAAGACAAAGGAGGGGCCGATCTCAGCCGGCGTGGGGGGGCAAATGAAGAAGAAGAAGAAGAAGAAGAAGAAGAAGAAGAAGAAGAAGAAACGGATGATGAAGGAGTAGAAGAAGGGGAAGTAGAAGAAGAAGAAGAAGAAGAAGAAGAGGAAGAAGAAGAGGTGGAAGAAGAAGAAGAAGAAGAAGAAGAGGACGCTGGCAAAGAGGAAGGAGATGGAGAGGGAGGGAGAGAGGGAGGGGGAGAGGGAGAGGAAGTCAGAGGGGAAGGGGAAGGGGAAGGGGAAGGAGGAGGAGGAGGAGGAGGAGGGAGAGAAGAAGGGGGAAG